AGAGGAGGAGGAGGAGGAGGAGGAGGAGGAGGAGGGGGAGGAGGAGGAGGAGGAAGAGAAAGAGGAGGAGGAGGAAGCAGAGGGAGGCGCGGCTGAAACCGATATCGTACTCCTACTCCGTTTTCCCTACCTAGGCTCTGCCTAGAAGGGTTCTTATATGTGCTTAAAGGAGCGGGCAGTGGAAATTGCCCCGGGCGGTTCCCCCGGTATCCGCCCCGCGGTTCCCCCAGTCCCCTGGGAGCTTTAAGCTTTAGCGTCAGCTTAAGCTTTAGCTTTAGCTTAGGTTTAGCTTAGCTTTAGCTTAGCTTTGGCGTAGCATTAGCTTAGCTTTAGCTTAGCTGTAGCTTAGCTGTAGCTTAGCGTTAGCTTAGAGTCAGCTGAAATTTACCTTAACTGTAGCTTATAAGTTTGCTTAGCTGTAGCTTGAGCTTTTCCCTAGCTTTGCTTTAGTTTAGCTTTAGCTTAGCTTTAGCGTCGCTTCAGCTTAGCGGTAGCTTAGCTTTAGCTTTAGCTTAGCTTTAGCTTAGCTTTAGCGTAGCTTTAGCTTAGCTTTAGTTTAGCGTTAGCTTAGACTTAGCTTAGCTTTAGCTTCATCTTAGCTTTAGCTTAGCTTTAGCTTAGCTGTATCTTAGCTTTAGCTTAGCTTCAGCTTAGCTTTAGGTTAGCTTTAGCTTAACTTTAGCTTAGCTATAGCTTAGCTTTAGTTCAGCTTTAGCTTAGCTTTACTGTTACTACTAAGGCTGCTTTCCTAGGGGCTCCAACTCCTAGGTAGGGTCGCACTGGGATAATCTTTGTTCGCAAGTAAAGCGCGCCAGGGCCGTTCGGAGGCACTGCGGGAGTTAGTCCAGCCTGTGCTTCACGCAAGACACAGGAGACGCAGCCTGCGTCGCTTGGAGGCGGGCGAGCTTGCCCTCGCCTGTCCCGTTGCTCGTGTGGCGCTCCGTTGAACGTTGCGCCTTGCTCTAATCGTGCGCAGCGGTCGTTCCAGGAAGGGGGATCGGGAGAAGGCTGGATGAGAAGGATGTGGAGGAGGATTTGGAGGCAGATGGGGTTGTGGAGGACAGATAGGGTAGAGGACCGTGAGGTGGAGGAGGACGAGGACGGGGAAAAGCGGTCGAGGTGGAATACTATGATGATAGAGGAAGAGGGTGGCGACAAAGCGGGCGATGGGGAGGAGAAATAGGGGGGAGAGGACGAACGAGGGTGGTGAGGAGGAGGTGTTCAGCATACTTCTGGGCGCTCTCGTCGCCTGACTTTGGCTCAGTTTGGACAGCTGATCCCTTCAGAGGCCCCAGTAGTTCCCAACCGTAGCAGAGGGATATATGTTAAACGCTCAAGGTGGTCCCAAAAGTGCTCCTAATCTTTCCCGAGACAGGACAGGCAAATGATCTCGCTTCTCCCGTGCCGGCCCGTGTGACGGACAGTGTGCGCAACGCGAGATCCGCTGGTCTGAGTAAAGCGATGAATAATGGAGTGCGATGGGTTCGCTGGCCCACCCTCAAGGGGGTGCAATACACCCTGGTCGGCTCCAGCATCGGTCGCTTTTGCGTTTTCCCAAATGAGCGGCGTTTGGTGGCAATCATTTGGTTAGCCCAAGAGGGTGCCAAGAGGCCACGAAGATGGCGCCCAAGGGCTCCAGGAGGCGTTCAAGACGGCAGAACAGGACCAGGACACGGTCCAACATGCCCGAGACAGCGCCAAGGTGGCCCCACGAGGATTTGAGATGGCGTCTGAGCCGTCCTGGACCCTCCTCTAGACCCTTAGAATCCTTCACCCCGATTTGTTTATGAAGCACGGGGGACGTGCGGGGAGCGCGGTGGGGAGCGTGTTCGGTGCGGGCGGTGGGGTCAGAACGGGCTGCCGGGCGGAGTGGTGTGGGGCTCGGGCTCGAAAGTGGCAGCTGCAGAGGGATGAGGAGCAGAGGATGATGGGCTTGTTTTCCACCACCACCACCATAAGTTGGAGCGGGAGGGGGTCCTCCTCCTCCTCATCCTCCTCCACCTCCTCCTCCTTCGTTCTCATCCTGCTCGTCCTCCACCTCCTTCCCCCTCCAACGTATGGTGGTGGTGGTGGTGGAAAACAAGCCCATCAGAGGAGGAGCCGTGGGATCACGCCGGGACGCAGCCCGGAATCAGACAGGCCGCCGTTTGCCGCGGCGTGCAGTTGTACGCTCGTGATGTGTCGCGGTCGTCCCCTCTTCCCTCCCTATTTCCTTCTTTCTTCTTCCTTCCTTGCTTCCTTCCTCCTTCCTTCCTTCTTCTTCTAATATTTAATATATTATTATTATTATTATTATTCCTTTGTCGTTTGTTCCTTTATTATTGTCATCATTCTTATTATTATTATCCTCGTCTTCTTCTTAGTCATCTTCCATCCTTCTTCTCCCCTTCTTCTCCCCCGTGCATCCCCCTCTTCCTCGCTCTGCTCGCCGGCGCAGCGCCTCTTCTGCGGAGGACCGCCCCGAAACTCTTGGGCGCCTGGGCGTGGCGGGCGGTCCCTGGCAGGTCCACCTCTTCGTCTTCGCCGTCGCCCCCGTTTCCCGTTCGTCCCCCGCTGGAGCTCCCGTCTCAGAGGCGGGGATCGATCCATAACCAACGCCTGGAGATCGATCTCCGCGGACCTCCACAGGCGACTAGATATATATGTATATATATTTACATATATATATACATATCGATTATCTCTTCGGGCCCCCCGGGCCAAATCATCTCCATGCCCACCGCCCTCTGGGGCACCGGGACGTCGGTTCCCAGGCGGTGGATGTGGACAAATCCCCGCCTCGCACCATCGCATCCGTCTCGAGCGGGGTCGCACGTCTCCCCCCTCCGTGGGCGACCGTCGGCGCCTCGTCTCGCCTCGCTCCCCGCGGCCCTCGGGCGTCGATGCTCCGAGCTCCGAGCTCGACCCTCGATCCCCGGCCCTCCCTGCCTGTGGGAGGGCAGAAAACACGGACGCGATGATCGTCGACCCCATCTCGCCGTCCACCTTCTCCTCCTCCTCCTCCTCCTCCTCCTCCTCCTCCTCCTCCTCCTCCTCCTCCTCCCTGCGACGCGGCGAGGAGGAGGAAAAATATGGTGCGTCATGGGAAGTGGAGGGGAAGGCGAGCATCCAGAGAAGGTGTGAACTACAGTCCACCCGCACAGTAAGGACGGGCGACCTTCCCAAGGGTACCACTGCATCCTTGTCTCCTCGGTGCATCCCTGGCCACTTTCGTCGGTCGCGCTCCGCTCGAAGACCTCGGAATGGGCTTCCAGGGGCCTTGCATCCTTGTCGCGCACCCTTACACTGCGGGGTGACTGCACAAGGAAGCTTGGGATGTGTGCCTCTCTGTCTCTCTCTCTCTCTCTGCGTGGCGCCTCCCCGCCCCCCCGTGCCGCCCGCCCGAGGTGGCCGTGATCGACGGAGCGTTCCCGCGGGCTGGCTGGCGTGCCCCCTTCCTGCACCGCGCGGACGAGCGCAGCGAGCTCTACGTGGGGGGGGGGGGTCCTCCGAAGGCATCCATACACCACCACCGTGTCAGGCCAGGGCCATTCTGGGCCCCAGGATGGTGTATAGACCCTCCTGGCCTCGGCCAGGAGGGCGTATGCACTATGCCAGGGCCAGGATGACCCTGGCATGGCACGGTGGTGGTGTATAGATGCCTTCAGCGTAGGGGAGGGGTCGCAGGGCCTCCGGGCAGCCGCAGAGCAGCACACGCTTCGGGGGTCCCCAGACGGGGTCGTGACCACACCGTGCGGTGGGTCGGTGGGGATTCGGGGTCACAGCACGGTTTTGGGACTCGGGTCGCTCTCCGAGGAGGTCTCGGGCGAGAGGGGCCTCCGGGGTCCCAAGACCGTGCGGTGACGGACCGTGCGGTGAGGTCTTGGGAGATTTCGAGGTCACCGCACGGTCTGTCACCGCACCGTTTCGGGACTCCCAATCGCTGCACAACCGTAAGTCGGGCACGTCCCTCTGCAGGAGGAATGTGCAAACATGGCCAGGGAACGCAGTATGGGGGCGCTTCTGTTCCGTGCTTTGGGCTATTTTCGAGCATGTTTGAAATCTCTTTAAAAATAAACATGTTTCGTCCATAATCCGCCTGCAGGAGGACACGCCCGACCTAAGCATAACTTTACAATTTTCGACGGTCCGTGCGGATTGCTTGGATCTGCGCTGGGGCTCCCTGGCGGCGCCTTCGGCGCCGTCCCTGGCGCGCTCTGCGCGCCAGGGAGGGGGGGTCTAGCGCCGATCCAGGAAACCCGCGCGGAGCTCCAACAGTTTATCTTTATACCGTTTCTTTGCTCCCCTAGATTTGCTGAGATGGGGGTGCACCGGCCCCCAATCGCCCGTTGGACGCCGAGGTGGTCCCGATAGCTCACGCTGCCCAGCAGCGCGCGGGGTCGCTAACGTGGCCGATCGCCGATCTATCGGCGAAGTACCGCCGATCCCCAGTCGATGTTTCCCCCACTGAGCGGGTCTCCCCCTAGAGCACAAAGTTCTTCCTTGGGAGGCAGGATTGATTACCAGACGCCCATCGCGGCCTTCACGTCCTGAGGAAATCACGGTGGGTGCCCTCTTCAGGCCCCAGGGGCCAGCAACAAAAGGGCCCATGATGAAGAGCTGCTCCCGTGGAAGGGGTCAGGACCTCGAGGGGTCCACGTTGTGGATAAATGTCGGGGGTCTAAACTCAGGAGTTAAGGGTCGCCCGTGCGTCGGTGTCGTTGTCGTTGTTGTTTGCTTCGCGGTAGGGTTCGTATGCTCTTGATATATGGAAGCAGTTCAGGGCGCTCTCACCTAGGCGCGGGGTGCATATTTTTCTGAAAGCGAGGCTCTTGTGTAAGCGCGGGCTGGCTTCTAAGTCTGGCTTTTTGAATACCCAGCTGCGACGGCAACGGTTCCCGCTAGATATTGCGCCCTGGCCCCGGGACGTCTTCACCCTGAGGAATAGCCCTATTGCAATGCCCCATTACAATAACCGCTCGCAACATACTTGGAGACGCGTTGGCCAGAGACACCTTCGCACTCAAGAACGGCGCTCCAGTTCGAGACGTCCTCGCAACTGAGTCAGCTCGCCGACAGCCCAGCTACGACGACAGCGGCTCCCGCCCAGGACGTCCTGGCAGTTTGCTGAGGAGTCGCATTCCCGCCAGAGAGTACCTCACAACCTCCCGAGGAGTCACGCTCTCGCCCCCGAGGCTTCTGGCGGCTGATGCGGTGAAGGGCGCTCTCGCCGCCCAGTGCGACAGACGCTCGGGCTGCCCAGGCGCTTCCATGCGTGCTCTCAACGTACCGTGTTTAGAGCTCCTCGTTCTCGAAGCACCTGCGGCCGGCTTACGCCCCCCACCTTCGCCCACCCCTCCTCTCCCCTAATTACGCGCGGTCGAGCGCGCGCGCGCGGGGAGGGGGGGGAGAAGGGGGAGGAGGAGGAAGAGGAGAAGGAGGAAAAACGGGAGGAGGATGATGAGGAGGAGGAGGAGTAGGAGGAGTAAGAGGGAGAGGAGGAGGAACTGAGAGCAGACAGCACATTATGCTGACTATGATGCTGCTGCTGCTGACGATGATGACGATGATGACGATGATGATGATGATGATGATGATGATGATGATGATGATGATGATGATGATGATGAGTATGCTGATACTGATACTGATGTTGATGATGATGCGCATGATGATGATGATGATGATGATGATGATGATGATGATGATGATGATGATGATGATGATGATGATGATGATGATGATGATGATGATGATGACGATGATGATGATGATGATGATGATGATGATGATGATGATGATGATGATGATGATGATGATGATGATGATGATGATGATGACGATGTTGCTACTGCTGCTGATGACGATGCTGATGATGCTGATGATGACGACGATGATGATGATGCTGATGATGATGCTGATGCTGAGGATGATGCTGGTGGTGGTGGTAATCATGGTGTGGTGATGGTCAACGGAGGAAGAACCACCCCGACCGGACAATTGGCGTTTCTTAAACGGCCCTTGGGCGTTTATTAAACAGCCCTTCCCTGTTTCATTTCTTCTTTGGGCGCGTTTGCTAAACGGCTTCGCCTGTCGGGGTGGTTTTTATTGGGCTGGATTTTCTGCTCGCTAGATGATGCTGATGCAGGTGCTAATGCTAATGTTGATGTTGATGCTGATGATGATGCTGATGCTGATGCTGATGCTACTGCTGATGATGATGCTGATGGTACTGGTGGTGGTGATGGTGAAGGTGATGGAGATGGTGACGATGATGTTGATGGTGATGCAGCTGATGATGCTGCTGATTGTGATGATGGTGATGATAGCGATGATGGTGATGATGATGATGATGATGATTATGATGACGATGACGATGATGATGACGATGACGATGGCGATGATGGTAATGATGATGAGGTTGATGATGACGATGATGCTGATGATGACTATGATGAGGATGATGATGATGATCCTGACCATGCTGAGGAGGTACGTAACCATTTTGGCTCAACTCCTTGAGGGATTGCCCTTCCATCCGTGCGGAAGGACAAACCTGGGCCCGGGGTGGCTGTGGACAGGAGATCACCTTGCCCACTTTTCTTCACGGTCTCTCGTACGGGCCCCCCTTCCCTCAGGGCGCGCACGATGGCCGCTCATGGTGTCGACAGGAAGAGTATCAAGGCTGAGGCGGAGCGCGACGTTCGCAAGTATGTGGACGATACAAATGGTGGAGCTCTTGGCTGCTGTGGCTACTGTGCAGGGTTCGGTTGCTACGCTATCGTCGAAGGTCAGCACCTCCTACAAGTCCCTGCCAACCGTCTCGGAGACTGATGCGGCGATCTCCAGCAACAAGTCAGTGATCATGCACAGCGCGTCGGCTCCCTTGAGAAGCAGGTCCAGCACCTGCAGACCGTCCTTGGTATTTTACACAAGGACAAGCCCCAACCTCCTGTTGCTGATCGTGTCTTTGATCGCGTGGTCGATGCTACTACCATCACCCTTGCCCGTTCCAAGCAGTTGGTGACCAGCAAAGTCAGGCTTGAAGCTTTCCACCCAGGGTTCGAGCGGGTCAAGATCACCAATGAGGGCTTCGCACTGGAGGGCAGCGACCCCGCCTCGCAACGCTTCATCTTCAGGCTGTGCGGCTTCAAGGCATGCGCCTCGAGGAAGGTGGCCCAAGCGCCTGGGTCGTTCAAGCTCGACGGCGGCAGCTGGCACAGATTTGACGATAGCATCGACGTGGCTGGTTCCAAGCAGGGATTCTTCGTGTCAGGCGACAAGATCGCGTGTCAGATCAAACGTGCATCGGCGTGCAAACTTGCGAGACATATCTTCGAACGTGCACATCCAGCGTTATGGTCCTAGACTGACCAAGCAAAGGGGGAGGTCAGCTGCCAGCGGGCGGATGTCATCCGCGTCGCGCCGCGCCACGGGGACACCTACGCCCGAATTCGAGTGCTGCGACGACCAGCTGCAGCCGCTGGGCATCTCCAAAGTGCGCGCGGCCGAGGTGGTGCTGTCAGAGTACGAGGGCGCATCCGCCAACCCCGCGTGGAGTTCCTGGTGTTTTTGTTTCGGATCCTGGTCCAGTGTTTCCGGAGCGCCCATCCCGACGCAATATTGTAGCTGGCGCGCCCGCGCCCCCCTCTAGTTCAAGGGTTCTTCGAAGTCCAAGCAGTTTTCCCTCGCCCGTAACCTCCTGGGTCCTGGATGCGTTCTCGCCCTTCAGGGAACTCATGGGCCCTTGGTGCACCTCGGCGGCTTCTGTTCCGCACTCGCCGTCCTGGGTTCAGCATTCACTCCTCTTTCTCCCCATAGTCTTCCTCATTGCCCTCTCCTCTAAAGGATGCACCAGAACTGCGTGCCCGACCTACGCGTTCCACCATATCCAGGGAAACCATTAGAGGAGGGGAGGGTCATCCATGCATTTCGTTGCTCTTTGTTCTGGGGACAAAACAACGAATGGATATCTATATTTACACATACATACATGCACCAATGTGTTATATGTATATATAGATTTGTACATCTATGTAGGTCAATGACAATTTCAAGTTCCCAGGTCAGTCGAAAGTCTTGGGGGTCCAACTCAAACCCGTTCCAGTCTTGGCGCTGCCAGCGCGGGGCCGCGGCGTTGTTCCGGCGGTTGTTCTTGGCGAGGTCAACATCAGCTCGGATCCGCCCCGCTACACCGATGAGGTATCAGTAGTCACAGCCGCCCAGAATATTCAGAATTGGCGCTCGTCATCGGTGCCTCAGTCTCTTGGGGCCCTTTGAGGGGTGGTCGTTGCAGATTTGAAGGGGAAGTCACGAACGCCGACAGGCGTTTGACCTCGTGCCCTGGATGGCTGCGCGACCATCGGAATGTCAAGGGCCGGGCGGCCGAGCGCCCCGCGGCATGAAAGATGCGCAAGGCTGCTCTTCCCGCTCGGGACCGCGCTCTGCATGGGAATCCTTCAAGTACCCTCGTCCAGTTCCTGGCCATTAT